TTATTATTTATTATATATATGTCATTTATAATAATTAGAGTTATTCTTTTTTTATAAAAAATATAAATTGATCATATTTATATATGTGATGCTCATACTTATAAAAATAGAAGAAGTAACAAAATATTATGTCCAAATTATATGAATATACTCCATATTCATTTTTCAATATATATAAAAATTTTAAAATATTTTAGTTACTAAATTATTTTTTTTGGAACATATATTTTTTGTATATTTATTTGTATCTATAGTAATTAAGTGTGCGGGTAAAAAATCGGGTCGGGTAGAAAAACCCACCGGGTAAACGGGTCGGGTAAACGGGTCGGGTAATGGGTTTTTTGGTAAACTCGTACCCGACCCGACCCGGTCTCCGGGTACAAAAGAAAAACCCAAACCCGACCCAAAACCCGCTCTTATCGGGTATACCCGACCCGATTTTTCGGGTTACCCGCGGGTAACCCGACCCGGTGAGTTTTTCTGACAACCCTGAGTACGAAACCACAACTTAACAATATTGATTGACCTTGATGTTTGAAGCCAACAAAAAGGGCAAAAGATAAATCATATTTACTACTAAGATATGTCGTGTCGAATGTGACGACATCCTCAAAACTCTTTATATGCATTCCTATATTATCAGTTCAAAAAAATGTGAAATGTGAAATTATTCTATATTATTCCTGAAAAATGTGAAATTACCTATAATTTTTTCTTTTTTTTTTTTAACAGAAAATACGTCTAAAAACACTTAAATTTAACACACACACACACATACAAATATATATATTTTTAACTGAATTTTATGAGAGAATATATATATCTATATATATATATAATAAATATATACGATTTATATATTATCAGTTCAAAAAAAATTTAAAATTTGTTTTTTTTTTACGTTTATGCATAATAAATATTTACATACCAGAATTATCATAAAAAAAGTTTTGAGTACAAAATATTTTCAAATAAATAATGCATATTTATGCATAATAAATACTAGTGCGTGGCCCGTGCGATGCACGGGAAAACAATATTACGATTGTGTTATAAATTAAATATACAAATAAATTAATTAAGATTTACCTATTGTTTTTAAATTAAACAGTGTTGGACACAGTCCGACCGGATAGACCGAACCAGTTTATAATCAGTCTAGTTCACTTGAATAAAATATTTACTATTGAATCCGTCAACACCAATCGGTTGAACTGGTAGGATCAATACGATTTTCTAAATAAATTTTGGTATATTTAAAATTATTTTAAATAAAATTACATGCGTTAATAAAATAGAAATTTATAAATTGTTTATCAATTAATTTAAACATTTGAATTTTTAAATTATTTAGATATTTAAATAACACATTTTATTCAATTTTATTACAAAAAGTATACATAAGCATATTTTTAAAGAAAAAAAATAAATTTTATAATTTTTATAAATTAAATTGTAGGATTAAATTTTATGATTATATTAAAGCGTATTTATACATTATATTGTATTATTTTTAAAGAAAAAATAAGAAAAATAATAAAATTATTATTTATAGGTCGCATTAAATGCTGACCTATTTTTTTTGCTACTAATTTTAGTAAATAAGATGGCTCTTTATATAAGTATAGATTCTGATACTAGAATTGGCATAAAAAAAATGTAACTACAGAATATGGATACTCAATCTTTAGATACTGAAATTTTCATAAGAAAAAAGAAAAAAATAAAGATGTGAGTACAAAAAATTTTGAAAATTAGTTTTTGTATGTTTAGCAAGTGCACGAAATTTATGCTTAATAAATAGGACGATCATTGAGAAGCGGCATAAAAAAGTTCTAAAAGGTTCTTAGCGAAAATAAAGGATTCTTTGCACCCAGATTTGTGCTTCGAATGGACTGCTCCATCTAATGTTGCATCTTTTATTACTATTTATAGTACATATTTGATATTTTTTTGCGGGAATTGTTTTCTAAATGTGGTAAATAGTTAATCTCTTTATATATAGATATAGATTAGATTTGGGTATAAAAGATGACTAGTACAATACCCGTGTATTACACGGGTGCTTGTTAACAAATTATTTTTAAATTTTAAAATTAATGAGAAAACTATATTAAATTTAGTTTACTTTTTTACAAAAAAAATATATTACTATATATTTTAGAATGATATGTGTTACTTATGACTTGCATGTGTTATATTATATTAATTTTTATAACTTATACTCCCTCCTAATTTTTTTTTAAAATGTCATTCTAGCTTTTTCAACTATTTGCCAAATAAATGTCGTTTTGGATATTT